ATACCCTTATCCCTTATTACTAAACTTAAGGACTGCCTATTTAGTAAATAGGTATTTATAGCCCTTAATCTTAAATCTGCCTATAATCTTATTTAAATTAAAAAAGGCAATAAATAGAAAATAGCCTTTAGAATAAAATATAGATTATTTAAATATTTAGTTATGCCTTTCGGATTAACTAATATACCTACAGTATTTTAATATATAATTATAAATATACTTTAAAAATACCTTAATATCTTTATAATATACTACCTAGATAATATCCTTATCTTCTTTAATATAGAAAAAGAGCATAAAGAATATATCTATAAGGTTTTAAAAGCACTATAAGATACTAATATACTTATTAAATTAATAAAAAGTTACTTTTATTAGTTTTAGGTAACTTACTTAAGATATAAAATCTCCTATAATAAAATCAGGATAGATAAATAAAAGATTATTACAGTTACTAAATAGAAGATCCTTATATTAATAAAAGAAATATAATCTTTCTTAGAATTTATAAACTACTATTAATAATTTATTAAAAGCTTTAGTAAAATTACTATCCCTTTTATTAAAATTACTAAAAAAGATAAATAATTCTAATAAAATAACTAAGTATAAAAAGCTTTTAAATAACTTAAAGAAGCCATTACTAGCAAACCTATCCTAGTAATATTTAACCTAAACCAGCAAGTTAAACTTAAAACCAATACTTCTAACTTTACCTTAGGAGGATAGATAGGATAATAGGATAATAATAATATACTATACCTTATTGCTTTTTACTTTTATAAGATATATAAGGCAGAACTTAATTACCTTATTTATAATAAGGAATTCCTAGCTATTATTAATTACTTTAAGGAATTTAAATACTATCTTAAAGGAAGTAAATACCTAGTAAAAGTATTTACTAACTATAAGAATATAGCTTATTTTATAATAATATAAGAGCTAAATTAATAATAATTGCAATATGCTAAATACCTATATAAATTCGATTTTATAATTGCATATTATAAAGGCATAAATAATAGATATATAGATGCTATTAGCAGATAACCCGACCTTAATATAGGAACTATTAAAACTAAGGAATAACTTTTAGAGTTTAACCTAGAAGGAGAATACTAGTTTACTTAACTAGTTAAAATAATTATAAAAACGGCTAAAACCATTACTTAAATACAGAAAAGCATAAAATTTAAAGAATAGCTAAAAAAAGCAGAAAACAGAAGACCTTATAATCTATAAAAAATAACTAATAATCTATATATATAATTCATCCTAAATAAACTTAAAGAAGAATTAGTATAAGATATATATAAATACCCCCTATATGGCCACTAAGGCATTATAAAAATATTAAAAAAAATATAAAAAAACTATAATATAAAGGAAATAAAGAAAATAGTAAAAAAGGTTATTTAACAATATGACCTCTACTTAAAGATAAAAGCTTAGAGATATAAACCTTATAGATAATTATAACCACTACTAGTAGCATAATAACCTTAAGACTTAATTATAATAGACTTTATAACCAAGCTACCTTTATTAAAAGAACCCTTAACTAGAATCTTCTATAATAATATTATAATTATTATAAATTAACTTATAAAATTTTCCTACTATTTACCTTATAGAGAAGTAATAAATACAGAAGAACTTTCTTATGTTTTTTATTAGTATATTATTAATATATATAGGTTACTTATAAAAATCCTTTTAGATAGAGGACCTATATTTGCAGTAACATTTTAGCAATTACTTATAGCATAACTAGGACTAAATTACTAACTTATAATAGCATTTTAACTATAAACTAATAAATAAACTAAATAAATAAATTAAATACTTAAATAATACTTATAGTATTATATTAACTATAAATAGAATAATTAGGTTAAGAGACTACTAATAGCCCAACTTGCCTATAATACTATATATAATAAAAGCATAAAGCTTATACTAGCTTATACTAACTTTAGATTTATACTAAATATATATTATAATATATAATAAGAAAAATCAGTTAATCTAGCTACTATACTTAAAAGTAATAACTTTAAAAACCTATATAAAGAAATAAGAACAGAACTTAAATTTATTAGAAAACATATAAAAAACTACTATAACCTAAAGCAGTTAAAGGGACTAACTTTCTTAAAGGGAGATATAATCTACCTAGCTATAAAAAACATTAAAACAGACTAACTAAGCCATAAATTAGATTATAAATATATCAGACTATATAAGATTATTAAGAAAATTTTAAAAAATAATTATAAACTAGACTTACTATAAAAAGTTAGGCTTTATCTAGTTTTTCACGTCTTATTACTTGAATTAGCAGCAGACATAATATAAGTCAAAACAGGCAATAAACCACAATAAATTACAAGACTAGAAGCCTATAAAGCAGAAGTAATTAAGGAAATAGATATAATTAATAGATAAAGAATATACCTAATTAAATAGAAAAATTACCTAAAAAACGAAAATATATAAAAACCTCTAAAATATCTTATTAATGCCTAATAACTCCTAAGGAACTTTTATTAATAATATTAATAGAAAAAATCTTACCTTAATTAATAATATTAGAAGCACCTGCTAATTAAGCCTTAATAGCAGTAAATAACTTAGCATTATTTACTACCTCTAAATTATCTATAGTCTTAATATTATAATAAAGCATCTCTTTATTATGCTCTTATAACTACCTCTTTTAATAATAAAGATATATTAAATAACTTAATTATTTATTTACTTATTATTATAAGTTTATTAATTTAGTTTTAGCTAACTTCTCTTTATGCTCTAACTAACGCTTCTTAATAATAAAATAATTAGCTATAATAAGTTAATAATAGAAATTATATATTAAGAAAAACTTATAAACCTTTAAGAATAGTAATACCCTTGCTATTATACTTATAACTATAATGCATATATTATATATAGTGCTTATAACCCTCCTTGGCCTAATACTTTAAGTTTTAAGGTTTATAATAACTATAAGGCATAATAAGAAAGCTAGTATTTTTAATTAAAATCACTTATGCTTTTCGGTTATAAGTAGCTTTTAACTCTAATATCTTATTAATATAATATTAGAAGGATAATTATAGGATTAAGTTAGACTTACTAAAAAAAGGATAGTTAGAATAAGAGTTATATAAGTCTTAAGGATAAGACCTAATAGAGGGGAGATATTGTGTTACAATCCTTACAGTTATATTATATAAAACCTATAAATTTCCTCCAATTAATTAATAACTTATGCTTCCCCTTATCTCTATTATAAGCCGCTTAATAAGACTTATAATTAGACTTATAACTTATATATAAGTACTAACTTACTATAGTAAGTTACTATAAGTATATAAAACATATTTATTAGCACTTTTATAAATTCTAGCTTACTAGCTATTAATAAAACTTCTTTATATTAATTAAGCCTAATATATATTAAATTTACTATTAAGAGATATAACACTTTAATAAGCTTAGTTATATGCCCTATGCAATCTGCTAATAATAAACCCAGCACAGCTTAGTTTAATATAGTTAGACCTAACTATTATAATTAAATATAGGATTTAAAGGGAATATTATTTTAAAAAGGATTATAAGGGATTATAAGTTAAAGATTATTAATATAAAGGTAATTATAACTTCCTTTATAAGTAATAAGTTAAAAATAATTAATTAAACTAAAGTTAAGATATATTTAATAAATACTTAAATATTATAATATCTTTTTATAGCCCTAAAAGCTATAATATTAATCCCTTTTATTTATAATATATCTTTTATTAAATTTACCTAAGTTATATTTAATTACTTATTATAAAATAGTTTAATACTTTTTAATTTATTAATTAAGAAATATAAAGTTTATTACCTTAATTGCTAAATTAATTAAATAAAAGCTAATAAAAATTAAAATTAAAATATAAATTAATTTAAAATAAATATTAACTTTTATATTAAGCTAAGAGTTAAGGATATTATAAGCTTAAAAGAGAATAATAACTTATTAATTATTAATATAATAAGTTAAAAATTTATAAATAAGGTTATTAAGTTAATTATATAAAAAGATATAAAATACTATAAGAAAGTCTTTAAAAGTATAAGCTAAAAGATTAAATAATATATAAAGCTAGTAACTATAAAGAAAAAAGCTATTAAAGTAAAAAAGGAAAAGGAAAAAGTAAAAAGGGACTTATAATATATTATATTTCTAAACCTTAATAAGCTAAAATTTAAAATTATTAAAATTAAGGTTAATATAATATATATATAAAAAGAAGTTAAGATTTATTTAATAAATAATATATTATTAAATAGTTTAGTTTTATTACAACCCAACAAGGGGAAGCGCTTACGTCACCTATGACCCACCAATAATCTCGCCAATCACACAACAACTCACGAATAAACCCCACAACACCCATAAGCCTCGCAATACGGCTCACAATATTGACTCACAACTCGCCGTAAGCCCGACTCACGACACCGTAAGCCACCACATTATATATATATATTCACTTAGCAGTAGATAGAACTTAACTCACCAGCTATCAATAAGACTTCTTTACCTAAATACGCCTAAACCGCCTTATTCACTATTAAGAGACGTGACACTTCGCAACTGCTCAGTATAACGCCCTACGAACTCTGCAAACATTAAACATAGTATGGACTAGTTTACCTGTTTGGAAACCCCTACCGTCACATTGAACGTCTTATCAAACCCATTTATTCCTCTGGTGATTTGAGTAAGCATTTTAAACGACACTATCTCTCTAATCTTTAAAGTCATGAAAAGCTGCTGAGATAAGCTTCCAGCAAGCATTGTCAGATAGGTGTTTTAACATAAATCTTCATATTACTCATCTAGACAGGAACACACGTATGAGTAGCTGACCTTCAGTCAGTCACTTAGTTAGAAACCAAGGGCCACTAACCCTACGAATCAAGCCCATAGTGCAACACATTCAATGTGGCTTCCCGAACTGCAAACTACTAAGAAATAGACTCCAGAAGAGAGATAGCATCGCAGTCACAATCGAAAATGGAACGGATGGGTTCTGTAGGTCAGTTCTATGTCCTACGGGAAGAACCCAGACCATGAAAAAGGTCATCATCGGCAAAACACAGACAAGATTATAGAACAGCACACATCGGAGGCTGATGACCTCGCGCGCATAAATTCCCCAGAAGCTTTCTCTTTTGTCTCCGCCCTCTTCGAATTCAGTCTTCTTCTTCGGAAAGAAATCCAAAAGATCATGAGATTGAAGCCCTAGCCTTTTACACTTATGGTACCAATGTAGCAATGGTCGCGGCTGATCGCATGCATAGAAGCGCTTTTCGAACTCGTGCTGGCAGACTGGTGGGATGCTGTCCATGGGTTTTGGCTGGTACTCGTAATCGCTGTTTGTCACGTCGGGGAAGGTGTCATTTTTCCTGGGGGCAAACTCGTGATCATCAAACTTCTCACACTGAGTTCCAAGGGCGTTAGCTATTTTTTTATAGAAGTCAAGTATGCAAACACCTACCATATAGAAGTCACAATGAGAATACCGCCAAACACTGAACCAGGCACGGAAGAACCCTCGAAGGTGAAAATACTCCTCTCTCAATTTGCGGAAGAAGATTTGACAATTGAGTCCACTGGCACAGATTTGTGCCAGTTTATAGTCTTCGCCTCGCTTAACAAGGAAAAGAACACGGTGGCTGGGGACATTCATGTCGACAACCTTGCCTTTCAGCAATGCTGGCCCAGGTCGGAGCGCATTGGCTGATGGTGAGCCGGCTGGCTGCTGATTTCCTTGACAGCTTTCGGATGACTGGTTGATAACAGAGTCGTTGTCATGAACGCCAGTCTCGCTGGCATCTTGCAGATGTGCAGCAGGACGAATTTGTAAGCTGGGCATAGGGGACTGGGAAAGATTGTGAATGATTGATTTGAGGCGTTTGGCAAACGGCGCAGGAACTTCTACCCATCTGTCCTCACCGCAGGTCTATATCAATGGTGGTGAGCATTGCCAGTCTCGCTGAATACTATAAATTTAGGGATCACTTACGCATTCCCATCGCACTCGTGTCTCCCATTCCTCCAAGGGTCTTGGACATGGAGGCAGAGGCCACCAATCCCAGCGCTCTCCGGTCCAGCGCTCTACGACATTCTGGCATGAGCCTATGGCCTTGTATATATAATAGTCGTCTCCTTCAATATGATCGATTCGAATCTTGCGCGGACGAATATATTGTAATTCCGCGACTAGATTAGGAACCTGGTAGCGTGACAAGAGCATAGTATTTATGGTTAGGCCTTGACCACGCTTCGACTAGATCTCGGAGTCTGGATCGCAAAGACGGGTAGATGAATTCGTGGAGTCGGCGACGGAAAGTCTGATAAGCGACACTTTCTTGAATAAAACGCTCCATATGATGCAGATGCTGTAAGGAGCCATCATACAATTCCTCCTCATCAACTTCTTTATCAACAGAATCTTGATCGCTATCGTCATCAGGATCAGCTACGGACTCTCGTTCTTTGTCCTTATCAGGTGCATTGCGCTCATTGGCATTATTGAGCTCGTTAAGATACTCTTCCACTATCTTCCGACGTTCGCCGACACTCTGACGGTTTCTCTTGGTATCTGGAATTTGGAGTTCTGCTTTCTGGTCACGTATGGAAGGTTTTGAAAAAAACTCCTGGGCGATATGGGCCGAATAGGAGCTCACAAATCCCACAAGGTTCCGGTGGTGATCATTGAGTATTTCTGTCTTGAGGTCCCCAGCATAGTGTTTAAGCAGCTTCCGGAAGTTGTTCCGCATCCTTTCGAACCCGATTCTCTCTTCCGACACGGCTGCCGTTATGAGAGATATCAAGACTTTATCCTGATAAAACAGAGCCGTTAACTCCTGGACAAGTAATGTGTTGATTCCGTCCGTCCCAGATGTCAATGTTACGGTGCTAGGAAGTGAAACTGGAACGGAGAAGACGGAGCCGTTGTTAATTGATGAATCAGATTCATCAGAATCAAAGTAGCCAGAACGATGCCGAGCCGTCAGCGCCCGTCGCGCAAGTCCTTTAAGCCTCGCACAGACAATATCATATTCATGGTCATGAGGCCCAAACTTGACCATAGCGGAGTGTGTATGAGCGATAGCGCATATATGCTCGGGGCCGTCCTCCCATGAGCGACAGTGCGTAGCGGAAGACTTGGTGACTAGATATGTCTTTGGACCGAGCATCGACTAATTACTGTTTTTATCCTATTTAGAGTCAGTTTGTTAATTTAGATATGCCTGATAATAAACATACCTTTTGCGCTGTTGGCGACTTTTCTGTCTTGTAAAAGCAGATAATCTCAGAATCACCTTCTTCGCCTAACGCAGCATGAAACTCCTTTTGTTAAATATTGAGAATTTAAGAGTTAATATGGCCGATCGACTCGATCAAGAAACGATTTAGTCCATCCGCGACCATCGGAAAAAGGGAGCTGATATCTATACTATCATGCGGCACTCTAAAAAACATGATCCCATATATGGCGCGAATGAGCCGTATGTCGTCTTCATGCGTTGACTTGGATAGTGATATAAGGGCCTGTTGCATAAGTTAGTACCATAGGAAAGAAAATATGTTGATAATACACCTGCTTGATGATTAATCCTCTCAAGCTGTGAGCAACCAGGATGATTGGTCTGGCTGTAGGACTGTCGGCCAGTGCATGCAGACTACTGAGAAAAGATATTGCGAGGTCCTCTATGTTTTGGAAACTGTTACTATTCGTAGCGCCTAGTTTATAACCATAAATCATCACTCGCGCCATTGGATCATCAGTAACCTTATCGGTGATATCGTATGGGAGTGAGTCTCATAACTACATATAATCGCCACCTTTCTCTTTGAACGAGCCGAAGGCATGTCCGCCGAGCCCAGATATAGCAATAACACTACTATCATCAGTATAATCCGCTCTCTCACCTTTGCTATACTTACTCGACTTTATAATCGTCCGGAGGCAGGACATAGAGGGTAGTCATGCCGAAGAAGTCATGGTCAAGTACCAGGTATTGGGGGCAAGCAGGCTGGTTCCTAGTTAACTTCGGTAGCAAAACAGACCTAGTTTGACCGGCAGGGACCGCCTGGAGATGATGGGAGACGTTCTGGAAGGTGACAGTGGCACTTTGAGAACAGCCATAAATTTCAGTGGCCAACGACCTGACGACAGGGCCAGCGGAGCCCTCGTGGTTAGCTAGGAAGGACGCCAAACGGTTGGCGTCCTACTCGAGAGGCACACCACGGGCACGGAAAGTCCTGTCATTTTTGAGGGATGTTGAATTAACGTATACAGTATCTGATGGCCGCGACGCGCGACCGCCAACCTGGCCAGCATCAGGCGGGTCCATCATTACTAAGGTAGGCCGTGCAGTTTACCCTTGAGCAAGCTATAGGGTTATCTGGGTGACTTATAATGTTAGGTTCTTTCAGTATCACTGGAGTCACACGTGTTCTCATCAGAGTAACGAGAGCGAGCAAGAGATTGGGGTTGAAAGGAAAAACGAGGGGGGAAGCACGGGACAGCCAAAGTTGGTGGCTAAATCCTGAATCTGCAACCAACAGCATGCCCCTCTACGCATCCTGGCCAATCAGCCTCTGGCTAGATAACCTAGTGACCAATGCTCTCATCGACTGTAGTAGAGTCAGTTTATCTGCCCCACTTTGCAGGGGGTAAAGTCGATTAAAAAGGTTAGAGTCCATTTACCTGCTAACTAATAAAAATAGTAAAATGCATATTATATAACTAGAACAGTAAGTTTAAGATTAAGTTCTATTAATAGGTAAAGTAAGATAATACTATTGCTTTTAATTATATTTTATAAAGCAGTATTAAATATAATATAAATATTAGTGTAAAATAGAGCTTTTTTTATAGATATAATAATATAATATAATAGCTATATTTATTATTATTATAGAACTATTTATATACTTATTAAAATACTAAATTATAATATATAAGACTTATTATTTTATCTATATAGCAAATAAAGTAATTACTTATTTATAAGTAAGATATCTTAATATACTACCTATAGAGTGATATTAAGTAATAGTAAATATTTAAGTACTGCCTTATATTATCTAAAACTAAGTTAAGATATATAGGCTTTACTATTTACTGCTAAATACTAAACCTATTCCTTATTTTATAGTCTTATATATAGATAGACTTAAGTATTAGAAGTATTATTATATTATCTATTAAGTTTAGAAGATTTTAGAGTATTACTGTACTTATAACGGTTGCACAAGCCGTTAAACCACAGGGCAAAAGATCGGGCCATAATCGCTATGCAAGCAATCATGGGTGTGCTACAGCTGCCTTATAGAAGCCTTACAGCGCTGTTACAGGCACGAATCATAACAGTACTAAATATAACTAGTAGAATCTTAATAGTAAAGGAAGACTAAGGAATAGTGTTAATAATACTACTAAGCTGCTATAAGTATAGGGTATTTACTATTAGTAATTCTTTCTCTTAAGAGTAGGCAGTAAATTATTTAAAGTTAGCTAAAGACTAATAGACTAGAAGAAAATACTAGAGTTAGGATTTTTAAACACTTTAACTCTACTAGAACTACTTACTTTAATACCTAAGCTTTATGCTTATATAAAGGGTATATTATTATAAGGTTAGAACTATATTAAGAAGGAAAACGAGCTATAGGTTTATAGTAAAATATAAGGAAAGGACTCTTTTATAGCTATAAGTCTTTAACTAGAGTATATATAATAGCTAGCTATCTTCTAGAAATTACAATAAGATATTTTATAGGCTCTAACTTAGCTGCCTAATAACTATACTTTAATAATAGACTATATTTTAAGCTAAAAACCTAATTAGGGAGACCTAAATATTATAAGCCTATAGCAAAATAAGTAAAAGATAGTATGTATTATTAATACCTTAAAGCACATCTTAGACTAGTATAAGATAATAGCCTACTACACGGGCTAATTAGTTTTATATTAGCTTTGCAGTTTAAGGCTTAAGTCTTATAGTTAAAACCCCTTTACTCTCCTAGCTAAAGATAGTAGCTAGAAGAGATATTAGAGATAATAAAAGCAGTTTATAGCCTTTATTATTCAAGGGCAATAAATACCTACTTTTATTCAAGAGTCTAAAATAAAAATAAAGCTTAATATAAAGCTTTTAAAACAGCTATAGCACATTTAGGAGTATTAAGTATAGTCTACAATTAATATATCTAGAGGATTTTAGCCAGCTCGACCTAGCTATGCCGAGAGCTACATGCCGCTATGTAGCGCACATCCGGAGATCTCTGGGCCTATAAGGTAGAGCGATGCTCGACCGAGCAGTAATGAAGAATATGATGCTGAGAGCGATAAGGATAATTATGAGATTTCTGAAGACGAAGATGAACTCGATAACGGCCCTACTATACCAATTACCCCGCATATCAGGTCCTGATACGTGATTTGATGGTCCGTGCATGCCACTCATAATTCGGGTCGCCAAATGTCCATACCAGTCAGGGTCTACGGAGAGAGAATTGCAGCCTGAGGAAATTTGGGCGCTATAGGTCTTCGTCTGCAGAAAATAGAGGTTAATAATGTCTACTAGGGCAAGTCTTGCTTCCTTGATTATTGGTATTTCAGCGTATGGCTCCATGGCAGCAAACAACCAAACTCCGGACGGCGGGGCCTGCTGATGATAAAATGATTCAGAGGCTCTCTAATTGGTGCGGTTGATAATTCAGAATAGCGATATCCACAATGAGGCCTTCTACCTGCAGGTTCTTATTAGCTCGAATACAGAAAACTGGCATGTTAGCCTCATCGGACGAACGGAAGCGTATCTATTTGCGAGAAATAACGTATAAGGAGAAATAACAGATAAGGTTCAAGAAGGGGCATGCGGCATATCAGAAGAAAGAATCCTTATTATTAATATAAAATATAATAATTATTAGTCTGTATTATTTTAATCTCTTATATAGTATAGATATATTCTCTATATTATCTCTTTTCTCTTCTTTTAAAAGCAATATAGTCATGTTATAATTTATTAAAATATAATTATTAGCTGCATGGTTGCGCCAGGTATAGATAAAAGGGAAGCAGCTGCATATTTTCAACCCCTGCAGATAATAAAGTAATAGGCTGTAATTACTAGAGCCTCTATACTTATCCCTAAATTGTACTATGTGACCCTTAGAAGCTATTAACTTTATCTTTAATTAAGGCCTAGGAAGGGTAAGGTAATAAGACATATATAATAAAGGGAGGCAATAAGCTTAATTATAAATTGTATGTTACTTAGTACCTATTAACTATAATCTAACTAAATGTTAAGATTTAAGAGTAAGGAGCTAAAAGGTTAAAATAAATAGCTTTTATACTGCCTCTTAATATTACATTCCTCTAATCTATATTAATCTGCCTTAATATATAGTTAGTAGAAAGGCTATACTAGCTCTATCTTATAATAATAGAAAATCCTATTATTGTTACTATAGTTACTATAGTTAATAAGCGATCTGACTGGATAAGTAATTTAACTACTATAGTATATAGCTAAAAAATAACTTACCTTATAGAAACTAAAACCTTAAATAAAATATGTAAAAATTTAATAAAAATAATTTATAAAATAGTATAATTAGCTTTATTAAATTACTATTTTTAAATATTTTTAGCTATTTTATTTTATATAGAAAACCTTAAAATACAGTGTATTTTACAGTGTAAATAGACTTTAAAGTTTATAGCTATATAGAATTTTTTTAAAAATCTAAGAAAATTAATATAGCTTTATTTAAGATATATATATAAGCTATTAAAATTATAGCTATTTTAGACTTAGTTTAAATCTTTAGAGAATTTTTTAAAACCTGGATTTAAGGTGGAAATAAAAGTAGTCGGATTACTTGTCCGGTCGGATTGCTTATTAATTACATTATTACTTAATATTTTCTTTTATAATAGTAATAAAAATTAAAGAAATAAATACTTATTTTATTATTCTTTATTAATTAAAGTCCTTTTTTCTTTATATTATATTAACTTTATATTAAGGCTTATTAATTTTAAATATAAACTTAAAGTTATTTTTAATAAATTAATTACTTAGCTTTAATAAAAGCAATATAAATTAAATTTATATACTTTATAGTTTTATTTTAATATATAATTTAATTTAAATTATTTACAAATAATTCCTAAAGTATAGATATAAATAATGTTCTAGTTATAGCTAATTAAATTCTTTTTAAGAACTTTAAGAGTTTCTATAATATCTTTATCAAGCTAGCTACTCAGGTTTATAGCCAGGCTAAGGCAATTAACTCTGTGAAATATTATATTTCAGCTCGGAACGCCTTCTTTAGAGCTGCAACTTATTATTAGTCAGCTGACTTCTACTTTTACGGGAACTGGACCGACCCAAGGATTAACGATATCTGGGCAAAACACCTTGATGCTTTTAACGCCGCCATTGCCCTGTTGCCTGTTCCTGGCAAGCGCATTGAATTGCCTTTTACTGACGGCAAGTTAAGAATTCCTGCCATTTTCTACGGCAGTGGCAAAAAGGAAGCGCGACCGACAATCATTCTAGGCAACGGCTACGATGGAGGCCAGGAAGAGATGCTCCACGTCATGGGCAAGGCTATTCTTGAACGCGGAATGAACGTCATCACGTATGAAGGACCTGGCCAACCAACCGTGAGGCGAAAGCAAAACTTGGGTTTTATTCATGAGTGGGAAAAAGTAGTAACACCCGTGGTTGACTATCTTCTGACCCATCCAGAAGTTGATCCAAAGAGCATTGGTCTTTTAGGGTATTCCTTTGGTGGCATGCTTGCGCCACGCGCCGCAGCTTTTGAACACCGACTTGCCCCAGTATTTGCCGTAGATGGTGTGTATGAATTCGCATCTGTGGTGTAAGATTGTCAAGAAGCGCCTTTCCGGAGACTGTTCGAATCTCACGATGCAACTACCCTGGACTCTATGACGAGACAGCTTCTGCAAAACCCATTAACTCCAGCATCAATGCGATGGGCTATCCAGCAAGGTCTCTAGGCTTTCAACAAGAAGAGCCCCTACACATAGCTCTTGAAATCGCAACAATATAACCTCACTGGACTTACCGACCGCATTCGAGCTCCTGTCTTTGTTGGTAGCGCAGAGGATGACATATTCTTTTCCGGGCAGGCCAAGCTCCTTGTTGACAGCCTTGGCTCTAAAGCTACCTTCAAGTCTTTTGGAAATTTTGACGGCGCAGGAGAGCATTGTCAAGCGGGAGCAAGCGTTTTTCTTAGTCAAACTGCCTTGAATTGGTTTGCGGAAATTGTGGGTTCGCATAAGGAATACTCACGACACTTTGAGGTTGAAAGGGAGCTCTAGAAGGTTATAAATATATTGGAATATCCACATCCAAGTATGAGATAGTTAAGGGTATAAGGATTTAGACCTGAGAATATACTTTCAAGTATAACTAAACAGTTCTATCAGAGTTCTCTGCGTCTGCTTCATAATCCCAGCTCCTTAACTAAAAGGTTTTCCGTCTGAATAATAAAAAGATAGACAAGCAGAAGAGTTCGACAGATGAAAACTTCCTATGAAGTCCTGTGTGGCAAGAGCCCTTAGGTGGTGAACGCACTCGCAGTTGCCTTGGCTGCAGCAGCAGAAGACACAGGCTCTTTCTCGATATAAGGATTTGGGGCCTCGCGCCAGTGGCAGGAAATCTCCTTCCAGGTCGTCTTCCAGCACGAATTGTATGCGCAGCCATAGGCACTTTCCGAGTCCTGGATCAGGCAGCGCTTGTTTTGCCCAGAGAACCTGAAGTGCGAACGCCTCTTGCCCCAGTCTACACAGAACTCGACCATGCCTGGCACCGAGGTACTTCGGCAGCCTTCGTTGGCATTCACTTTGTAGGCGCCATAGTCTGTGTAGAAGAAGGCGTCTGAGCTATCACAGCCCAGAGTACACTTGGTAAAGATCTCCATACGGTCAGCGGAGACATTCATGGCGAGCGCCATAATGACAGCGGCGATTTCAAAACGCATGTTGAGGGTGAGACTCGGGGTAAACAAATAAGTGGTTCTTTTTCACAAGAAGGGCGAAGGCAAGGCTGTAGTCTGCAATGGTTCAAGTTGCGAAGAAAGCAATGGCTGTGAGTGTAGTTTCGATATTTCAACGGCAGATCAAGCGACTTTTATACTTGAAAAGACCTGAAAGTTTATCCATTTTCTCATTTGCGCGACATCTCACACAGCTAGTGGGACTTTCTGGAGTACTTCCTCAAAAGTTACGCTATTCGAGAAACGGCAGTATTATTCAAAAGGTCGTCTCCATAGACCTGTCTAGACTGATCTCGAGCATGACGCTCTTGCCAATACAAGCTGTATCAAACTACGAAATAATAACGTAAGCTCTGCATTTACTACTAATGGGTTGTTCTTTCGCGAGGTATTAACCACCTGCCGAAGAAAGTAAGTGTTGTCTCAGATCATCCACCACCAGCAGTATGACCAACAGGGCTGTGTTAATTCCTGAACCTTGAAAGAAATGTCTATTTGCGAAAATGAACGCGATATCAAACTAATGTAGTATATATAATTGCTATTACTTTTCACCTGGTTAAATACAGATATAGGCAACGAAATCACTACCTCAGCATAAAAGGTAGCAGTAATATCTATTCTTTAAGTCCAGACAGATATCCATATCCCCCATCTAATAACTTACACTTAATAAGGTTATTACAACAGTATAAGCTTAATTAATCTCTGTATTCTTTACGTCTAAAAACTGCAAGGATATAGCGCAAAGATACAGCACTTGGCAACTAGTTAGTCAGCTGCTATATTACTGAAAAAAATTCTCAACCCCTTGTAGATACCGCTAAGGGTCACCCACCAGCTGCCAGTATTAGCCACATCGCGCACATTATCGTGACCCCTTCTTCTACTATATGAGAGTTGGTAGCATACCTTGGTTTTTTACCAGAAGAGCTATACGACACAAAATTTGAGCCTTACAAGTCTCAACTCCTGGAGGCTCTTGACATGTCTGCGTTGAGCTTATTCCAGCGGCGTTTGTTTTAACCCATTACACCTTAGTAAGCTGCATTGGTATGTAATAAGGGCTATAGGGTAAGTAAAGTGTGAAGTAATGACAAGCCCTTGAAATTACGCTTAACGTCCGTCACCCACAGACCGGCCACCCCCACAGACTAGCTACCTCGGCCAAAACACCAAGAACCGGATATTATAATTAATTAATTAATTATCTTAATACTATATTTTTTATATTAAATGAAAATTTGGTTAGTAAATATTTAAATAAAATTAAGTATATAAATCCTTAAGTTTTAATTTCTTAACCCTATTTGCCGTCCTTTCTAGTTATAAAGTCCTCTATATCTATTTATAAGCCTTCTTTATTACTAAAATCTTTATAAACTTGGCATTTGGGTTATAGATAACCTTTTTATGCCTCTTTAGGAGATATTCTTCTCTTTTATGCTGCAAAATATATATTTCTTTATTCTGCTTTTCTATTTTAAAGTTCTAATAGTCTAATTAACTTCTAATCTTCCTAAATAGCAGCCTAATAGTCGGATCTTAAGTAGCAGTTGCTAGGATAGTCTCTAGAGCTTGCCGAAGCTATATAGATAACTAGGGAGTCTTTAGGAGACTGGAATCCTGCTCTTTAGCAGGCGAAATCGCTATAGCAGTAGGAGAAGGTGTCTTAATAACTATTAGGTTTATTAGGGCCTTCGCCAGATTAACAGGCCATAGTCTAGTAGCTTTAAAGCCGGTAAGGGCGTTAGACTTTATAATAGCTTCTTTCCAAGCTTTATTATAAGTATATAGAAATATAATCTTGCTGATATGGCTGCTATTAGTAATAAAAGCAAGATCTAAAAGAAGTTAATAATATGCTCTCTTTAGCAGTTTAAATATAGTAATATTTAGTAGCTGTAAGATATGGGAAGCATAAGCAGGAAGAAATAATAAATATATATTAATATTATAGTATTTATAAAGGAATTCCTCTATTATATAACTTCTATAATTATTAAGAATAAGAAGTTAGGGTTTATTCTTATTCTTAGGCTATATTAATAGAATATAGACTTTTCTTAACTAAATTAATGCTAATTTATTATTTATTTAACTGTTTTTACTATAGCTAAACTCCTAGTTATTTAGGAAGTCTAAATCTTTAGGGAAATAGTATTATTAAACTGTTTTCCTCTTAAAGATAATTACAGGTCTTAGGATTTTCCTAGTTACTAAGATATACTTAAGTATTATAATTTAAGACCTAGAACTAGGTTAATAAATAAGTACTAACTTCTTATCCTTATAACTAAGGAATAAACCGTTTATTCCTATCCCTTTTATTATTTTAACTTTATTAATGTTATATTTATTCCTCTGCTTAATTATCTATATTACCGGCATTATTAGCAGTATAAAAAACGCCTTTATTAGTTTAGAAGATGCTCTATTATATCGTTTATAATTAATTTTCTTATCTTTTAAAGTCTTAATATTAGAATTTTGTCCTAGAAAGCCCTATAACCAGTTCCTTCTAATGCCTTCTGGGAAGCCGTTGTAGATGGCGATCTTGCTGGCGAACTCTCTGACTTGCTAGTGCGATATAGGGCATCCTAGATTAGCCTAGATGACTATCCAGTCTCGTAAATGCTTTTCCTAAATATCAGAGAGCTTTTATCGTAGTTTTTGGGCTTCTCTTGGTATTATGCTTCCTTTGATCTGACCTTATAGAGTAGAATAGTTAATGCCACAAGCTTCGGCTGCTTTATTTACTAAAACTCTATCTGTAACTATCTAAAGCGCAGCGCTTATATCTTTTTTAGTAAAAGAAGGCATTCTGAATTGATTGGCAAATTAAATTCGTGGAATTGTGGCTATTTGAAGTATATACAAATTGGGTGGCTGGGTAAGAAATGAGGTGGCCCGTCTGTGGGGGTGGCCGGTCTGTGGGTGACGGACGTTAAATGAAATTATACAGAAGCAAGAGCCCCACAATATAATACTACATAAATAGAACCTGACAATAATTGGCTAACTAAATGACACTACTGGTTATTTGTCCCAACGAGGAATAGCTTGAATATTGTCACTATTATCCCATGTTAAATCTCACCTCCTGCCACCCCTCTCGCATTTCTTTTGTTTGTTTTCGCTAAGACTTCTGCATGTGGGCTACAAATTATCAATTTCTGCGTACCGCGTATTGTTCTGCGTATTGTAAGACAGCTATGAATGCCGTTGACGAGGCCAAGACGCCAAAGACGAGGCACTGCACTACGCGGAGTCGGAGTGGCTGCGTGGCGTGTCGCGAGAAGCATATCCGGTGTGATGAGAAACGCCCTTCGTGGTACGTCAGCTGTCAAATGAGTGATATATACGGCGGACTGGCCAGTGAGATGGTGTTTTCTAACTGTCAATAGCCTGAACTGTGCTAAGAAGAAGCTACCATGCCATTACATGCCAAAGATCCCACTGCGGGAACGTAGGACTAAAGCTCGTCCTGGACAGCAAATAGTCTGGCCTGTGACCCAGAGCCAGGCAGCCGCGGTTATTACTTCTCCAGATGAGACGTCCTTGATGACGTTGCTCTCTGACGTTATGAGACCCAGCGGAGTGTTTGATCCCTTCGACGCTTTGCCCATTAAGATGCCACTCAGATCAAAAGAGCTTCTGCACTACTGTTTGTTCGCTTACCCCAGTTCAACCACAACCTATGACTAATTATTGCTCCCAGTCTTTCAAGCTGGGTACGGTTTCGGCCCCTTTCCCAGGAACCCAGACGATTGGTCAGCCCCTGCTCCAGATTTTGACATGGACGTATGAATATTAACAGTTGGACTGACTAGTCTTATCCCCATTACCCAGAACCCAGATCTTCTACAGAATACCTTGCTGGTTTCCGGAATCCATTATGCTCGGAACAAAGGCGATCTCGCTTTATTTGAGCCCACGTTTCTTTTCCATAAGATCCAATGCATACGACAGGTCAACCTTTGGCTTGGAAGCGGGTCAGACAAAAACCTGCAGACAAAGTGTGCGCGATACATTAGCACGCTTGCCATCACAGAGGCCTGTCTGGGAGACTTTGAAGCTGCTGAGTCTCACCTCAATGGCCTTGTGGTCTACCTTGACTCCAAACGACTGCAAACAGGCCAAGACGCGAGAGGTCAGGTGGAAGATGAGTTGACCAGTCGTTATTTAATTCTGTAATAATTTCCACATTTCCATAAAGACGATCATGTCTGCTGACTATCTACCTTTTCTTCTAGGGCCAAAAATGTTCTTCATAGCACGGCAAGTCGCGTCAGGGACTTGATTGCAAATTACTGTGTAGCTAGAGGTATTAAAGAGCCTTTGAAAGTTACAGAGTACGGCTTAATGAAGCACAAACCACATCTGCATGATACAAGCGGCACTATATCCTGCCTGAAAGCCACGAGGATGTTGCCATTCTTCTTCGGCTTCCTCCCCACTGAAAGAATGCCCAAGGATGTTGACATGCACATGACAGTCACAGTCCTGCGAGATCTAACGCGACGCGCTGATCCAAGACACACAAACAGGTCTGCATATACCAACTGGAAAGTTTGGCATAGCGGTGACACGCCGAGGCTTCTCTTCGCGCTGGTGGATTCCCACATAGAATCGTTTTCCGACAAGCTCCAGCTGCCGCCTCAAGGCCGACAAACGTTCATATCATCATGGTCCAGTTTCTGCGTGACCATGGGCATGTATCTTACCAATGTTGTCGAACTCTGGAACCATGGCCTACCAATTGAACGTCGATTGCGCTACTACACTATACGAGTCTTGGAAGACGATATTCGGAATTGTTACGAGACATTGGAACACATGGACCAGGAGACACGTTATACATGGTTCTGGAAAGCCTTCGTTGGATCGTTGACCGTGGCCCAGGCTCAATCGGCTGACTATGACGAGCGGCTTGATGGCATGTTCGACAAGTTTTCCAAGTACATCAAAGCGTTCACGCGGGTTGAAAAGATGTCATCGTGGGACGAAGCAAAAAAGATATTGGTAACTGTGGTGTGGCCAATGGAGTGTACGCAGGACGAGATATGCACAAAGGTATGGGCCAGATTGCTTGCCAAGCACTGAGCTTACTACCTGGAGTGGAAGCATGTAATCTTTTTTATATTGGAGCGCTCAAAGTCTCTGTTGCTCAAGAAAGTCTTGTGAACAAGTCAAATAATACACTACGTTCGATAAAATTTACCCTGAGTTCGTGAACAAGCACATTCTTAATAAGCCCCTGTGACGACCAGCTATTTGCACTGATGTGAGCATAAGATTTGAGGATTCGTAAGTTAGCCGAAGCGATGCCCATCTCATGCTTGGCTACTCGCTTCTGATAAGGGAAATGATGCTAAGATAAGTTCGGATTAAGCGGTCACCTAGAAATCGAGTAAACCGTGCTTTCAAGGCAACATACTAATGACAATTCGTAGTGGCGCTCTCAATTGCGGTCAATATAGCGGTCGATTGCTGCGACTTTCAGAATAACACTCATTGCAATTCTCTGAAGAGCTGGCCAAACCCAACAACATTTTTCCAATGTAACCCAAAAACCCCATTGCTGTTTTCCCTATCGGTAACCGCCCAACTGACCTTTCGTAAGGTGTTGGGCGTCGCACAAACGCCAAGAAGTAAGATCTGACCAAGGATACAAAAGCCCAGCTGAAATATTTATTCCGATCATCTTTAAATTAGCTTAACTTAGACAAATACACGAGAATGATGACAGATGGCTCCGCATTTATGCATAATATGAGATGCACAGCCTTTTCAGCTAATTAAAATTACAGTAGTGACGAGGATTATTCCGAGTGACTAACTGTAAATAAACTTATTTTTCAGACATCACAGCCCTACAAAAGTGGGTCGATATACTGGCAGGCTGTGTTCAACTCACCCTGTACCTACGCAGAGCTGCCTGTATACAATCTGTTGATAAGATCTCCAGCTAACAGTGGGTTTTGCTCGATGTTTGAACTTTTTGATTGGACAACTTACGGGCGGATGCCCTCCAGTCCGAAACATTTTACTGAATGAAAACCTGTAAGCTTATGGATACCATCATATGACCATGGTCTGTTTGAGGTTATTTTATTAAAGATGTAGAACTTCTGATACGGTCTGACCACTGCAGGTCACTATTTTAGGGCCACCTTCACATTGGCTGAAATAATGTTTTCCTTTGACACGTATAGTAAGCACTAAGACTGTAGATTTCAGCCGCACATCTAAGAGGAGATAGCGGTAGGCTGGTTCACATTCCAGAGAGGACTGTGCGTGAGTCTTGTGTCTCTTTATGGCTAGACTGAAGCCGTATATTTGAGAACTTTCGTCGTTGGCTACCTCAAGTCTCCAAGTTGTTGGTTGTGATAAAATTAAAGTGCATTCAGAAATGTCAATGGAAATGGTTTAAAAAGCCATAATTCGCCGGTCCCCAAAAGCCACTCATCACTTTCACACTCACTTCAATTCAATTCACCGACCTCTACTTTCATCCCAATATCCATCATGGCGACATTCGACCGCAATCTTTGCACTCTGGCTACTTGTAGCGTGGAGAAGTTCGGCTGGTACCACTACGTTCCCAATCTTGGAGCCAACGCCTTTTATCTCGCCGTCTTTGCCATCTTCGCCATTATTCAGCTCTACTTGGCTATTAGATACAGGGTTTGGGGCACTTTTGCTCTTGGACTTGTGCTCGGTTGCGTTACAGAGGCGATTGGCTATGCTGGTCGCGTTATGCAGGCCCGAGGGGATGGTATTTTCAAGAAAAAGTCAGTGTAGCGCTTTCTCCTTTCACAGAACTTGCTGCTAACAGCTATGCCACTTCAGATACTTTGTGATCCAGCTCGTATGCCTTACCATCGCGCCCGCTCTCATCTCTGCTCCGATTTATCTCTCCCTCGGCCGAGTCGTCAAAGCATACGGAAGACAGTTCTCTCTCATGTCACCCAGAACATATGCAGTCATTTTCATCTGCTCTGATGTTGTCTCGCTGATCCTCCAAGCTATGGGTGGAGGTCTTGCCGCTACTGGAAAGACACAGAAGAAGGTCGACACTGGCGTGCACATTCTGGTAGCAGGATTGGCCTATCAAGTGCTTTCCTTGGCTGTCTTCATTGGTCTGGCGACTCATCTTTGGTCTCGCGTCCGCCGCATGGGCACTAAAGACGCTAACCCCCGATTTACCGAACTACGAGCTTCTCGACAGTTGAAGTCATTTATCTGGGGTATGTCACTCTTCCGCTTTTTCTTCTTACTAGGCTGACCATCTTGAAGCTTTGAGCATTGCTACCATCACCATCACAATCCGTTGCATCTATCGTGTAGTTGAGCTCTCTGGTGGCTTCAAGTCTGAGGCTGCCAACGATGAACCTTCTCTCATGGTCCTTGATGGTCCCATGATCATGGCAGCCCTCCTTGCACTGACCGTCAGCCACCCAGGACCCCTGTTCTTTGGAGACTGGAAGCGACTGGGTCAGGACTCTGGATATCCTGAAATCGGCGAGGAGATTGAGCAGGTCAAGCAGGATGTTGAGCGTAAGTAGAGTAATACTGAGGAGATACACTGCAGTTGGGGTTGAGGGCAGGGGGTAATGTACAGTAAGGGTTTTTAGTTATCTGACTGAGAGTTAGTAGTGCTGGCTGGCTAAGTAATATAATAAAGAATATAGTTAGTTTTAGTTATTATATTATATAATGTTTTATTTTAAATAAGTTATATATAATAAATATTTACTTTCTGCTAAATAGCTAATTAATATAATTAAATCTTTTTTTTTTAAATTTATTAATTAAAAAGAATTTAAGCTAGCTTTAATAAAATTTATAATTTATAAAGATATATATTTAACTTTTTCTTAAAGAATTTTTTTTTTTAATTTAATATTATATTTACTTTATTAAATTTTATTAATAATTATATAATTATAAATAAAAAAGTAATATTTATAATATATATTCTCTTTATTATTAACTAAAATAGTTTTATAAAAGTTATTATTATTAATATATTTAAAAATATTACTAAATAGGCTAAGCTTAATAATATTTTTCTTTAATATATTTAAAATAAAGTTAATAAACTATATAATATAATTATTACAATCCCTGCAGTTACGTTACATAGACCCTATAAATTTCCTCTAATTAACTAAGGACTTACGCATTCTCCTTATTTCTATTATAAGCCGCTTAACAGGACTTATAATAAGACTTATAGCTTATATATAAGTATTAACTTATTACTATAAGTTATTAAAAGTATATAGAATATATTTATTTATATTTCTATAAATTCTAGCTTACTAGTTATTAATAAGATATCTTTATATTAATTAAGCCTAATATATATTAAATTTACTATTAAGAGATATAATACTTTAATAACACTTAATATATACCTTACGCTATCTGCTAATAATAAACCTAATATAGCTTAATTTAATATAGTTAGACCTAACTATTATATATTAATAACTCTTATTTAGACTATACTATATAATACTAAGTAATATAAATATAATAGCTATACTAGTTACTCTTATCTAATAGCAGACTGCTACTAATATTATATTAACTCTAGTTAATAATAATCTACCTACTAACTAGGATATAGGAGAAAATAACGAGAATTTGTCTAATAGCAGCGATAACTCTGATATTATCTAACTCTAATAGCAGATTGCAGATATAGCTATCGAGATAGCAGAACTTTACTAGATACTTACTAAAGCTATAAACCTTTAAGCCTAGCAGGCAAATAATAACCAGAATGGGCTTTAGGAGATATATAACCTTGCTAATACTATAGTTTATAGTAAGGATGCTAGAGAAATTCTTAAGCCTAACCTGCTTAAGATATTTAATAAGAATCCTAGCAGACTTCTTATATTCCTTACTTAATGCTAAGCCTTTATATTATACTACCTAACCTAGTTTATAGAAGATACTAATAAAACTAGGTATATATTAAGATGCTTTAAAGGCATAGTTATATAATAGTTTTAACTACTTTTAAAAGACTAGATTAATAAAGAAGACTTAAAGGTATTAGAACTATAAATATATATAGTTTATACTAACTATTTAGCTTTTAAAAAAGCCCTATAATAGGCATTTAGTACTATTAATAAAAAAAATAAAAATAAAAAAAAAATTAAATTACTTAAGTAAACCTAATCTGTATTTAAACTTAAAGTAAATTTCCTCTAATTAGTATTTAAATTACCTTAAGACTAAGATGTTTTTATGTTATTCTTCTTTAATATACTTAAAGAATCGGTATAGGCTAAATTATATAAGGAAGACTAACTAAAAACCTTAATAAAATATATTAATAAAGTAATTAGAATTAATAATTAATAATTTAACTAGAGAACTTATAACTCCTATTATAATAACTAAGGATAATAAGGAAATAAACCCTAATATAATAATAATTAAGGAAAGAAATACTAGAATAATATATCTTATAATACTAAAGCAGGACTAATAATTATTAAAATAACTAAGAAGGACAAGTTAAAGATTACTTACTATAACTATAGTAAGAAGGGGCACTTTAAATAAGAATATAAAAACCCTATTAAAACTAACTAAAAATATAAACTAATACCTAAAGGTAAGAAGATTAATATTATTAAGAAAGATAATAATTTATAAATAGTAGCTAAAACTATTAATATAATTAGGAAAGATAGATATAACCTCTTTAGTATTCTGTTTATAATAAACCTTAATATAATTACAACTCTAGCAGTTCTATTATATATACCCTACATTTTCCTCTAATTACTACAATCCCTGCTAAAACAATTAGCGCTAAGACTCTATAATTAAAGCTAATCTATTATAATTAATATTAATTTATTTAAATTATTACTAATTCCTTAATAACCTTACTAATTATTTAAGGATACCTTTAATATATAAATTATATTTATTAATACTTTTATAAGACTTAGCTTACTAACTATTAATAAAGCATCTTTATATTAATAAGCCTAATATATATTACTTAATTATTAAGAGATATAATACTTTATAATACTTAATATTATACCTTATATAATTTATAAATATAAACCTAATATAAATTAGTTTACTTATTTAAAAAACCTAATTATTATATATTAATAGCTCTTATTTAAAATATATTATATAATACTAAGTAATATTAATATAATAATACCTATTACTTTAATTTAGCCTTCTAACTTAAGATATACCTAGTATTATTTATAATAAGAAATGCCCCCTAACCTAGAAGATATTTTTATAAAGACTAATAATAAAAATAAAAAAGATATTACCCCTACTTACTTAAGTATTTATAAAGGGGAAGTTATAAAACTTAAATATAGATTTAGATATTTTAGCTAGTAATATAATAACCTCTTAGAAAACATAAAGAATAGCTTTAATATAACTAAGAATAAGATTAAAAGTTTAAAAAAGAAGGTAGCTAACCTTACTAAGATTGCAGAAGTACTTAAAAAGAAAGTAGAAAATAGTTAAAAACTCTATAAAGAGTATATTAAATATATTATAGCCCTTATAATAACTAGAAAAGACCCTAAAGAAATCCTTTAACCCTACTAGCCTAAATTATTTAATAATAATACTAATAAACTTTAAGGATTCCTTATTAGCCTTTAAAGTTATTAGATATATTACCTTATTTAGTTTATTATTAATAAATTAAAAGTTTAATATAATATAGGATTCTTTAAAAATAAAGTACTATAATTAATAAAACCTATTATTTAAGATTATATTAGTAAATTATATAAAGAATAATAAGAAATAATAAAATATATTTATAAGAAATATAAAAACTTTAAATTAAAACTTAAAAACGCTTTTAAAGTAATAGATAAAAAACATACTATAAAAATAAAAGTATAATAACTTAAATAAAAAGGATTTACTATAAACTATTTAGCTAAATACTGCTATTAAGTAGCTAAGCTAAATTAAGGTAAAGAAGCTTATATAATATAGGTATATTTAAGACTAAAGTTAGAAGTTAAGGATATAATAGTAAATATTAAACTTAAATTAAAAAACCTAAATAAATTAGTAAATATTACTATAAAAATTAATAATTAGTAATATAAGTAATACTAAGAGAAATAAGTAAAAAGGTATAAAGAATTATATAACTTATAGTAAAATACTAATAAATAACAGAATGCTAATTAAGGAAGAAAAAGATATATTAATATATAATATAAAACTAAACTAGGACTTATAATACTTAAAGTAATATAATATAATAATAGTAAAAGACTTTATAATATATTTAAGGTTAAATATTATAATTATAATTAGTTTAGATATATTACTAATAAATATCATTAACTAAAAAAGCCTAAAAACCCTAATTAAGGTAAGTAAATATTAGTAGTAATTAATAAATAAAAACCTTAAATTATTATATAAACTTAAGTACTTAAGATAATATAAAGCCTATATAATATAATAACACGATATAAGGATATTATATTAAAATATAAATAATACTTATATCTAAATAGTTTAATTTGCAAATTATAGGAAAAATTTCTAATAAAAGAAAATATTAAAGTAGGAAATATATCTTAAATCTTAATATTATATAAGATAAAGGTAATTAAATACTAAAGGAAATAGTAAGAGAATTTAAAAAACTAATAATAGAAAAAGGAAAAGGATTATACTTACTATCTTAAGAAAAAGGAAGAAAAGAAATATAAAAAGATAAAATAAACTAAGACCCTTAAGATAATAAAGGAAGAAAAACCCTTAAAACAGGAAATTAGGAAATACCTAAAAAACCTATAAGGAATAAAGACTACCCCTAATATAGGAAAATAACTTAAAGTATTTAAGATAATTAATACTATCTTAATTTAAATAACAATTTAAGAAAAAGAGGAAATAGTAAAGAAGGAATATAAAGTAGGGAATAAGGTCTATATATACTATTAATAATATTCTTAAAATATAAAATATAAAGGAGAAGCGGCTTAAAATACTATATAATATCTCTATAAGGAAGATAAATAAATAAAAAATAAGTAGAAATAACCCTATAAATTACTATTTAATAAAAACAATAGTAAAATATATACCTTAATAGAAAATAGATACCTATAAAGAGCTAGGAAGTATAGTAATATTAATAAGCTTAAGAGCTTATATATTTAGGCTTATTATATAGTAAATACTATAAACCTATATTATAAGGAGCTAAAATTTAATATTAAAGATATTATAGAAATATTTCTAACTTACCTAAGATATAATAAATTATTATAGCTATTATATAAATACTATTAATATAAAAAATATAAACAAGATAAGGAAAATAATAATTACTTCCTTATTATAATTTCTAATATACCTAATAATAATCCTTATTAAAAAATAAAAATAAAAGGATATCTAGTATATTATTAATATAAAAATCTTAAAGTAGTAGAATTATAATTTTATATATTATATTACTATAAGATTTAAAAAAACAAGAACTTCTATTAAGAAGCCTTATAAATAATTAAAATAATTAAAGAAGCAAAAAAGGAATTTAAAGATCTAGCTCTAAAAGACTATAAGAAAGAAGAGGGCAAGAGAAGATTTAAACTTATTAACTTAAGGGAATATAAAAAGGGAAAAGAAAGGGAATTTATTTAAAAA